TCATTAAATCTAAAAGATATTTTTCAAATAATACAAGCTAATTGCTTTCATTTTTGAAATCGAAAATCAAAATTTTGAAGAAGCAGTACGTTATTATTGGGCAAATTTTAAAAATAATAATAATGTATACAGCAATATTATGGCGGTTATTAATGTGCAAAATTTGAAAAAAAATAGCGTATGCAATAATATTATTAATATTATGGCGGTTAATAATATAATATAATATTTTTTTTAGCAAAATATTTTAGTTTTCTCAATTTCAGGCTATCACTTTGACAGAATTTCAGGTTTTATGCAAACTTTTCAAAATATTTATATCATTAAAAAAAAATTAAATCCTTGAACAAAAACCAAATATTATATAATTTAAATGCAAATAAATTCACATTGATGAACACAAAACTTTGTTTTTTTCGAGTTTTTCCCGTCATTACGTGTCTTTTTTACTTGTCAGCAATTTAATCACTTAATCAATAAAGTTAACTGCTGTACTGTTAACGCGAATTTCATAAAATTAGCCTTTTATTCCATAATTTTTATTTTGAGTAATTTTTTTCATAATAACGAAAATTGAATTTTTTACTGACGGATAAAAAGCAGATCAAAATTTCTTAATGCACTGATCATATTTGATAAGCATTTTATGCGGTACGAATCAAGATTGAGTCAAATTTTTATACAGTTTATTTAAATCATTTTTTACTTGCAGACAAATTATAACTATATCAAGTTTTGTATACTTTATTTGATTATAGCGAATCAATTTTATTTTTATCCACTTTTATTCAAGTTGTTTGTGTCAGGTTGGATTCTCCAGCAAGTTTATTTCTACCTTAAAGCTTCTATTGCTTATAAGCAATTATTAATAATATGCGCATGTCACATTTTTTGTCTTAAATATTCTAATCACTAATAATTTCAATAATGTTTAAATTATTACTTTAAATGTTTAACAGTTTTTAAAAAATTAGAAATCGATAATGAAGTTGCGCAAACGCTTAATTTGAATTATACTTATTATAAAAGAAGTAATCAAGATTTTTGACTACTTTTTATTTACAAAATTCAGAATAGATTATCCCCAGTCACTCAATATTTAAAAATTACATCTTGCAGATGTCAAAAATATGGCAAGATTTGCGTGGCACAACTTTTTGATCTGTTAAGGCATTCCAAAAAAGTAATATGAAAGTTTGATTAAGCAATAATTAATTAAAACTTTCTCTTCAATAATAATTAATAATTATTTATGGATAAATTAAAAAATCAAATATAATATTTAAAATCATTATAAACAAGTCTAAAGCTGAACTGAATAAATAACTAAAAATCATAGCAATATGTGCAGAAATAGTTTTTTAGTTGTCTTTTTTTGTGTTCTTGGCAGATCAGATTATTTATGAATAATTAAAAAAACAGTAGAAGCATTTTTATTCTACTTCTTAACATTTGAAAACATTTTAGACACTTCTGAAATAACTTAACTTCAACAAAACTATTCCTCTTTGGTTTTTTCGTATAATATAGTTTAATAAAGTATGATTATTCATGCTTTCTGAATCTATTACTTTTTGTTTTTCACCAGATGTTAAATTAAATATAAAAATTTATGCTTAAAGTAGGCCACAATTTAAAAATTGCATTTTAGTCCCCTCTTCATGTTATAATTAAAGCTTATTTTTGAATAATCATTAATGATTTTACAATTTTTTAAATTTGCTATCAGTACTTCAAATTTTATTTTCTTTTTTAGTGATATCATTGTTATCATTTGTTTAAATCATTTAAAGTAAGCCAATTTTAATTTTTATTCGTTGATTTGCTGCTTATTTTTGACAGTTTGAAGTAATTTGCATATTTTAAGTGAGTACTCTAATTGCAAATTAACTTAAAATCAGATTTACTCATAAAGTTTGTTTTTCTTACTGATTTTTGAATTTTATAAGTACTTACGTGCAAATTTTTTTTTATTTTTTGCCATTAACACTTATTAAAATTATGCATTTCAGCATTTTATGATTTATGCATGTAATTTTGATGACATCTATCACCGCATGACGTTAATTTAAGCTTTAATTAATTTTACGTATTTGAAGAAAAATAAGTGAAGCAAATTGAAGAATCAAGATTCTTTAGAAACATGATACTACTTGAGTATCTTGAAAAAGACAAAAAGCAAAATTCATAATAGTTTCTGAATACTAAATTTATTTTACTTTGAATATTCAATAGCGTGGTAATTATAAAAGTAATTTGCATATTGTTATCTTAGAAAAATTTAATAATTTTGTTTTCTTAATTTTAATTTCTTTTATAAATAAAATTTAAAACGAAATCAGTTACAGCAAACACTCAACAATATAATAAAAACAGCAGAAGATATTCATTATGGCTTAGTCTTAGCTTAAATTCGTCGTTGTAAGAATGGCAGTTAATTTCTGATAAAAGCAAAATGACTAACTTTTAGAATAACTAAAGGATTGAAGAAAGGATTAAAGATGGAAATTTTAAAAATTTATAAACATCTTAAAGAGATAAGTTTATGTTAATATGAATTGGTCTAATTTAATGCAAGTTAAACTTATGAATTAATCCATAAAATTAATAATGGAGTTAATAATTAACAATTAATAATGAACTTAATAATTAACATCAATTATATTAATAAACGAGCTATTATTAAATAAAATCGTTCACTTTTTTCAGGCTACTTTTAAATCTTTTTTTGGTCTTTTATTATTTTCAAAAAAACTAACTTGATTACTCGCTTACTTAATCATTGCCAATTACTTCAAGAATACTTATGATTTAGTTATTGCTGAGTTTTCATACTTTTTAATAATAAAATTGGTTTCAATTCCATGAAATCGATAGATTTTGATTAAAATTTAGCTTAAAGACAAGATTTATAAAATATTATCTTTAAAGGAGTTTAACTTGAAAATGACACAATTCAAAAGTATAACAAACTATTTATTGGCAAAAAAATATTACTTGCCTATAATTAATCACAAAAATTATGATTAAAATACAGAGTACTGCTTTGTCAGTTGAAGAATTTGAATTTATTACTTAATTCCAGATTCTGAATTACAAACTACTTTTAGATTAATCTAACTGATATAAGTATTTATTGCAGGAAAAAGTTTATTAATAAAATTATGCAAGTGTGATAAATGACGCTTGGAAAGATAAATTATTCGTCGTCAACATTGTATTCGGCTGAAAAAAATCAAATTCAAAATAAATTTGGTAAGATTTAATTAATTGCTATTTTATTGTATTTTATTCATTTATGCATATTTTTTGAACTTTTAGTTCATGGCTTTTTAGCGGGAAAAAGTATAGCAAAATAGTGTAATATTACAATAAATGCAAGTTTGCATAAAATCTTCGGTAATAGTTTTCGAAGCATTTAGAGATTTAATTTAATTTAATTTAATTTGGGGTTTTATTTTATTTTATTTATGCAAAAATTATGGATAAAGAAGCAAAACATTTCAAAATTAATTAAATTTTTCATTATTTTGCAATTTTAGCATCAGCCAGACCAATCTTTGCCTGTTTTTGCATCTTAATCTGAAAACATCAAAAATTTCAAATTTTATTTGTTTTACATTTTCATTTAATAAATAAAAATTAATTTTTGCAAAGTTTAATTATGAATAAGGATAAGTATTTGAAACGACTTTTTATTATCGTAATTTGCTTCAGTTTGCACAGTTCAAAAATAGAAATGATTATAATTTACAACTGATTTGTTCTTAGCGATCAAAAAGATTTTAACAAAAATTATAAGTCATATAGCAAAGTTAAATCTTTATTATTATGTACAGTAAATAAATCATAAAGCAAATTTAAATCTTTATTATTATGTACAGTAAGTAAATCATAAAGCAAATTTAAATCTTTATTATTATTGTACAGTAAGTAAACAGTCATTTGCTTTAAGTAAAGTTTTTACTGGTAAAAATGAAATACCACTCAAATTTGAATGAAATTTGAATCGTTTCACAAAAGGTCAGTTAAAAAAATTGAAACAATTAAAAAAATGAGATTAACAAAAATCCAAGCATTTTATCAATTGCAAGTCAAATCTAAACAAGTGCAATATCTGCTACAACTTTTGTTAAGTTTAAGCATTAGAATATGGTCATTTTGCACCATTAGGATCTAGACTAAGTCTTAAAAGTTGGATCTTAAAAAAATTTTAAGATTCAATTTTTCTGCTTTTTAACTTTATCAGTTTACTTTTAAAGTAATTTATTATTGCTAGGCATATGTTTGAATTGCCTGAAAGCTGTACAATAATCACTGTATGTATCTTCATTTTTCATTTAAATGCAAAAGCCATTGTACAAAAATGAACTTAACAATAAAGCACTATAAACTGGAGCAAATTTAAGACTAAAAATAAATTAGTAAAACTTTTATCATTTAAAAAAACTGCTTACAAAATTTCGTTCAACTTCAGTTCAAATGAGGGGCAACACAAATTCAAAAATCACTTATTTTGGTATAATTTTTCAAAATTATTTTGGCGCATCTTTAAATAATTTTATGCCATTTGGCGCACTTTTTAAAAGTTTCACTTAGTTCAGCGCATTCTCTCAAAAACTGTGCCACATTCAAATATGTGAAAATGGCGCATGTTTTGACAACTTTGTACCTTATTTGGCGCGCTTTTTTAGAAGTGTCACTTAATTTGGCGCATTCTCCTAAAAATTGTATCACATTCAAATATGTGAAAAGTCAATTCATATGCAAAATAAGAATATTAAATAAGATAAAGATAACAATTTAAAAGATAAGATATAATTTCATATCATAAAAGTTACATACTGAAATTAAGTAACTTTTAAACTGAAAAATCGAAATTATACTATGAAAAGAAATAGTAATCTTTGCATGCTTGCTCAACTACAGAATAAAAAATATTACTTTCTGAATAAATGATTCAAAAGTCAACCATTTCTGAATCAATTAAAATGACGTAAATGAATATTTCAGATGCTTCGTTGCCAGGAGATATTACCATGCTGGATAAAGCATCCCTTATATGTACATTAGTTATGCTATGGATGTGTTTGTGCGGAATCATTGGTAATATGCTATCTTTATATATCTACAGTTGTTCATCATTCCGCAATTGCTCCATTAATATTTTGCTTGCTGCTCTCAGTGCCTCTGATCTTTTTCTTTGTATACTTGCAATTCCGGTTTTTTCCCTTCCTCAAATTCAACAGTATTTTGCAGGTTTATAACATTATTGCTTTTTTCCATATAATAATCAATACTTTGATTAAAATGTAATCAAACATAATACATAACTTATTCCATAATAACCAATACAATCAATTAATTAAATACATCGGTAGTCAGTGAACAATATCAATGAATAATCAATGTATTGACATTTCAACCAATTAATATTTTACTGAAGATCAAATCAAACACATCCAATATCATATATGTGATCAATCATTATTCACTGTTCATAATTAACTCGAATACATCTATCAATAATTGTATTAAAATCAAATTGGATACAGTAATTAATACAGTAATTAACTGATATGATAGCGCGTCGCAATTTCAACAGTAATGATGAAAAATAAATATGAAAGTAATAGATATTAAATATTCTACAAATAATTATTTATCATTATTACAGAGTACTTAATAAATATGTGAAACAAAATAAAATTGATCTTTCAGGCGAAATTATTAAATCTATACACATTCAGTGACTTTGTTAAACTTTTTAGATTATCAAAAAAATTGATGATCAATTCATAAATTTATGTAAAGTTAGTATCTAATGAGTATTTGTAGATCTTTCAAGATACATATCAGGAAATATTGTAATATATGCATATCCGGTAACATTGATGTTTCAAAGTCTCTCTGTATGGTTATTAGTTAGTATTACGATAGATCGCTATTTGGCTGTTTGTCATCCGTTTACAGCTCGTATTTACTGTACAAAGTTAGTTTCTTACTGTTGTAATACAAATTTTACAGACTTATTTTAGAGTGACAGTAAATCCAAATATTCATACTGAATAAACATGTACTGAATAAGCTAAAAAAGTTCTAACTTATGTCATTATATAATAGGATAGTACTTGCAATTTTCACTTGCTGTGTACAAATCCCAAATTGCAATCTAAGCTTTAATTTGAATAAACATTTTTAATCCTATTTAAATTAGTAAATAAGTCAAAAACTGCTCTCATCTATTTATGCAAAAACAATTTTTAATAATTAATTTCAATTTTAACGTAAAATCGACGTAGTATGTGATAAATTTTTCGTATACAAAATGATTTAATTAAGAGATATATATATTCATTCTGAATCTTTACATTGACAACACTTTATGTGAAGTAAAAAATTCAATTTAAAAAAATGTAAATATTTCTTTCTCACTTTTAATTGTTTTTTAAATGTGCAAAATCTTAAAATAATTTTTTTCAGAAGAATAAAAAAAGTTATTCAAATATCTGAATACTGTATGAAGGACTTTCTGGCCTTCTAACATCTAATCTTTAGAAGAATTTTATTGCTTGACCGTAATTATTTTTTCAATCAAATTGCCTCTACAGCAATCTTTTAATTCTCTACAATATTTCTCAAATTGATTTAGTACCAAATTAGACGAAAAAATTAACTTATAAAAATTCCTTTAAGAAAATAATGATTACAATAAAAAAATTTAAAAGAATAAAAACACTTTACGACTATAATTTTATATTTTGTTCAAATTTTATTTTATTATTAAATTAATAAATTATATGGAACGATATTTTAGTTGTGTTTCAAGTTCACTTTTACTTTTATTAAAAATTCTAAAAAAGTTTATCTTTATTAAAAACATTTAAAAAACTATAGTTCACTTTTATTAAAGACATTTGAAAAAGTTCACTTCTATTAAAAACATCCAAAAATTATTTGAAATTAAGACTTCGACGTATTGTTTTTTGTTTGGTTAAAGCTATTCCTTAAGAATTCAAATTTAATTTTAAATTAAATCAAATTTTAATAAGATAGTAATTTAAAAATTTTTCTAGGAAAAGAGCATGGCAAATAGTAATAATAATAATAGCATTTTCTATTGCTTACAATTTCGTCCGTTTTTGGGAATTTCGAATTGACGAATCTGCAGAATATCTATTATTTCAAGAATCTATTGTACCAAAACTTCGTTCTAACCCAATGTTTATGCTACTTTATCAAAATATTGCTACGCTTCTCACACAATTTTTTATACCGCTCATATTACTTTTTTATCTTAATCTTCATGTAAGATTGATTTGAAAATAAATTATTAAATTGTTAGATGAGGACAAAGGTTAATTCTAAATTACAATACTTGCATCGTAAACTGATGACTACTTGATATGTGCATAATAATTTTAATCTATGTAATTGAACAACAAATAAAAAATATACAGTACACTTTCATTTACTTATTTTTCATTTGATACTAATATATTGCTAGTTTCTATAAATAATCATGAGATTACAGTTAATTAATTAATTGAAAATAAAACGATATTAATCCAAAAAATACAAAAATGAAGTAAGAAGATGGTTTCTAGGTAGCGCAAACTATATTGGTAGCAACAGAACAGAGGAAAAAATTAGTTGCATCTGAAAGACGAGAATATAGTATTGCCAAAATGATGATTTGCATTGTGATTGGTAAATTTGATTATTTCAAATCAATTTCAGTCTAATGTTTTACAGTTTTCAATCTACATACCGTTATCTGATAAACAATTCAATTTATTAAGAATTAATTTTGCCTAATTAATCAGGCAATTTCAACAGAGAAGAATATTTATTCAGCTATACTTTACTGCATTATTTTCAGAAGAATAGAATTAAAGGAAAGATTTTCTAAACTTTCAGTGTTTATATTTTGTTACACATTGAGTATGGTATTAAATCTAATTGAAGTCTTCAATGGAGAACTGTTTCGACAGCCCATTGGTTATTTGCTAAATGATGTAAACAATATCCTAGTTGTTATCAACTCTTCATCTTCATTCATATTTTATATTAAATACTCAACTCGGTAAGCACACTTACTTACAAAATCTCTACAAATTTAAGAGATTTTTACTAATCAATACCCTAAAATTAATAAATGAGATCAATAGCCCTAATTAAATAATAAGAAACTAATTAAATGATCAATAATTAATGAGATTTAAATTGTTTAATAATAGAACCTAAATGGATATCGCACAATTATGTGCTTTGGAATCTGAAATTTTGTTCAGATTTATATTGTAACATAATTGATGATTACAGTTAGTTAATAATTTTATTTTTTGCTGAATGAGAAATTTATGCAAATAATAGCCACTATATCCATACACACACATTTTGAGCTCAAACCACAAAATCTTTTTACAGTACTATTATCAGTTTCAATGATTAAAGAAAACAAAACGTGTTTACACGCACGAAATGACCAAATGTAGCACTAATAAATGCCATTATTAGTGCCATTCTATGAAGAAAGAGATAATTTCTCAGAAATTTGTCATTCTACAGAAGTTACAAAAGCTTCTTGATATAAACATACAAATTTATTAATTAGACTCTTAATAATTCAAACTTGAAAAAGTCATATCAATTTATACATGTACTACCAGTAATTTAGATGATTTTAATCTGAAGATAAACCAATTTTTTATCGGACTTACAATAATATTGCAGATTCCGAGCGCAATTACGATCAATCAAGTTTATCCGTTGGTTTGCTGTGAAAATGCCATGTTTTCATCCAATTCGAAATTATAATCAGCAATCAAACAAATATCTAAGTGGTTATGGTTCCATGCATAAAAAATATACTTTTGCAACGAGAAACGTCCGCATCAAGTGACTGCCTTGCAAGGAAAGCCTTCTAAAAACTGAAACAGTACTTAATACCGATTATATCACACCAGCTGTCCGTGCTAGTCACTTTACTGATAATATCCACAATCCTAACTACTATTGCTGTAGCAGTACTTCCAATGTTTTTAGTACTGTCATTATCGATGAGAACAGTGCAAAGAATATATGACGATCACTAGAATGAACTTGAATCTCTCGCAGAAAATTCAACAGATGAAAAACTCGGAATCCTACTTGTTCTACATGAAAACCTATGTGCCTCTGGCTTCTGTTACATTTCATCTCAACTTCATTGTAAGAAATCTGTTTCATACAATCAATACTTATCCTTCTATTTACTGCTAGCACTTACATTAGTTTGAAAATAACTGGATATACAAATCGCTATAATTAAGTATCTACTCTTTGATCATATTATATGAATATAGTATGACCAAAAGATAGATTGTTTTTATTATTACTCCTATTCTCACCATTTATCAGTGATGACCGACGTCAAATCAAATAGATTCGCCCTGAAGAAATGCATAATTTTTGAAAAATACTTTTAAAAGTAAACAGTATGACACAACCCAGTTACTAGTAAAAATCTGTTTTAAAAACAATATAAAGAAACAAATATTGCTCAGCATGAGGAACAATTTTCATTCACAAGAGATATCAGATAACTGTAATCAAAAAACATATTGTGAGCAGTGAATTCATGAATGTAAATGAATGACAAAAATTTGAAGAATCTGTAATTACTTACGACAGTTCCAATCAATAAAATACAGACTTTTTAACTTCACAAATTTCAAACTTGAGTCATGATAGCGATAAATTCTGTTCTTCAGAAATCAATGAAGGAACAAGTTTGTTTATTCAGTATAAAAAAATTAGAAAGACGAGATCACAAAAAATTCACGAAAAAGTTTATAAAGCCATGCTAGTGACTATGAAGGGGAGAGAACAATTCTGAGACACTGGTGATACTAAGCTATTTTTTTAACAAAAATGGTAAAAATGAGTACATAAATATGAAAAAAAAATTGCTGCGTAAGATGGAAATTCATAAACACAGTCTTTAAAACGTTACATATAAATCTAGAACATTCTATTCTGATACATGTTTCTAAAACCACTCAAAGACATTTTATAAATGTAAAAAATATTTTCAGAAAAAGATAAAAATTAACCAAGATTGAATTGTGCAATGCACAACAATTGAAAGGCGCTAATTATGTCTAACTTAATCAAAGAACTATCGTGTCCGAGAAATGCTGCGATTTTTTCTTACACGTCTATTGCGATGTGACGCTTCTTTTGAATCTCCTAAAAAACAAGACTTTTATTTAAAATAAGTTAGCGAGAAAACAAAAATAATTTGCGGCATGTCATATCTTGACAATTCTTAAAAATATGCAATTAATGAAATAAAAAATACCTTCTGATTTTTTTGTTTTGCTCACTTTTCTCTGCTTGTTCTTTACAACGTTGGCATTACTCAATACTACATCATCGTTTGCAAACTGGTCTGAAGAAAATAAGGTATTTTATTCTGCAAACAAAATGGTCAGTTTTAAATAATAAGGAGAAACAAATATCACATTCAGTTTTTACATTTTAGTATACAAGAACATACCACCGCCTATAAAATTTATGCTTTCAATCTGTTCCGGTTCAGCTGTAATATTTCCATTATGACCATTTACAAGTATTATATCTTCTTCCTCTTCTTGTTCTTCCACTACTGAAGAGTTACAACTTTCTTGTAAGTAAAAGGCTTTGGAACCAACAGACCACAGAAATCAAACCATATTTTTTGAATATAAAAATCAATTTGAATGATGAACAAATTCAGGAATGCATCAAATAAAAATCATTTATGAATGATAGAAGAACCGAAAACTAATTATAAATAGCTTAGTTTTAGGATCAGATAAAATAGAAAATAATAAGGGACTTACCAACCGTGACTGAAGCTTTCTGATTTGTTAAAAACTTTTGATTAATTGCTCCTCTATCAACAGTTACGAGTGGCAATAAGCCTATGCGTACTCTGTAAAAACATTTCTGTCTAACACTTACTAAGTATTTGAGAAAAATATCTACAAATACTAACTTGTCCAATACACCACTTCCTAATTTTGTAATTTGACGCTGCACTAAAAGTTTCATATTGTCAAGCATTTCGTCGATATCCTGCTCATAGAGAGTCAACACCGGAGCAACTAGCTGAAAGAAAAATTTATAAAACTAATTCTCCTATATCGTTCAGTACATTTCTTGAATCAAACATTTGTTATAAACAGTTTCGTAACAAATAACTGTTAACCAATGTTATTTTCGATGGTTCGCAAACGAATGAATACTATAGTGAGTTAAAAATATTATTTTACTTTTTGATGAATAAGTGAAGCACCATCTGTATAAGGAGAAGCTGTCCAGAGCAAAAAACCCATTTTCATAGCTAAGTAACCAGGAACAATGTATGGTAACAACAAAGCATCCCCGATAGCATCAGCAGCAAGAAAACCTGCATAGACCGTCCAATATTTTAACCACCGATTCTATAAATAGTTTGATTTAATAAGTGTCCCTAATATAACTTACAAGTAAATTAAAAATGAAAATAAATGAGGTCATTTCGTTCAGTAATAAAATTTAAAACTGCATAAACAAAACTAATACCATTTGAGAATACTCGCCATCACGAATAACTTTGAATGTTTTAAATGCTGGATAAAGAGCTCCGACAATGAGAGATGCAGCATGAGATAGAAACTGAAGAACCATCTAAAATTTGAATACGTGACAGCCATAATAAATCCTTATTTGTTTACATACGTGTTTGTTTATTTGTTTGTTTACATACGTCTCTCATGGAAATTCGCTCATTTACTTACTTATTTCGAAGTTCTAAGTGAATACTTCCGTATTAATGTACGATTATATATCATTATATTTTTTTAAGAATATTTATTGATTTGTAAAAGTTGAAGAATTTTTCTTACAAACTATCAAGTCCAAATTTTCCTCAAAATAACATCCACTCACCTACAACACTTAAAGAGTATTTACCTACCCACTCAATGAACGCCAACTTTGTTTTCAAGAGAATCCTTGTTTTTTGGCGTAAGAATTCCTTATTTAATGCCCTATAACCCTGCCTCTTTTTATTAAAGAAAGCATATAGACTGATTCTAAAATTCTAAAAATACTTACTTGAAAAAAAACCCGGAATCTAAAAAATATAGCACTTTAACCGAAGCAAATTAATCATTTAAAAGTCACCAAATTTTAAGCACTGATATACGGCACATAATCTATTTGCAACAATATTTTGGGTTATGGGCGACAATGCAATCTTGCATCTTACTAATTGAGTTATGTCAATATTTGTAAAAATTCACTAATAATCAATTGTTTGCACTGTTTTGTCAAACGTGGGGTTACTTTGATTTGTATTCTCATAGCTTATGAATTTATTTTTTTGAAAAATAGCGTTTACTCACTTACAATCAATTTTTAATACGTAATAAATTTGTGCAGACTTGCAAATTTATTTAATTCAATTATTTCGTTTTTGTTGAGTTTTTGAAGTAATAAAATTTTGTAAATGTTCTAGAATCTACAATAAAAGATACTAATGGCTGACAACAAAGCACCGCGTTACTTCAACGCTGCGGATGTGGATATGGGAGTAAGTTTTTTTATTTTTATTTTTGTGTGTATATCTTTTTGTTCCACTTTGAAAAAGCATTTTCTTACCAAAAATTCAGTTTTAAACAACTGTTCAGTAATACTTGACAAAATAGTTTTTATTTTATGTTTCAATATTTGAGAAATAATACTTGTCAGAGTTGGCTTTCTTTTCATTATAAATTTATTTACAGACAACTCTCATCGCTATGGAATTTAATGGTGGAGTTGTAGTAGCAACAGATTCAAGAACAAGTTCTGGGTATGTTTTTTTAATTAATTTCATATTAATTATACCAAAAAATTCCATTGTATTGTGTTGATTTGACTCACACATTTCACTTTTCGCTTATTTGCATTTGTTTAATCTATTCGTTTGTTGGTTATGCTATTACACCTTCACCAAAATCTTCCCTTAAAATATTTAAAAGTTCATTCGTTTAGTGATGGTCTGTATAATCCATTAACTTAAAATGAGATAAGAGTGCTTCTTACTCAGTATTTTTTCATAGATTTAAAAGATTTCACTGTAGGTATTGTTCATTTCTTTATATATCTTTTTCAAAAACTCAAAAAAATTGCAGTCTACCATTCTCTTGTGGAACTAAAAATTTTTAAACTTATCTGTTATCTTTTTTTACTTTTATTTTCTTTCATGTCATAAAAAATATGATTATATCGTGTTTAGAAGCTATATATCATCCCGTGCCACAGATAAAATTACTCCTGTAACGGATCGAATGGTAGTTTGTCGCTCGGGTTCTGCTGCTGACACACAAGCTGTTGCTGATATTGTGAAATACTACATCGAAATATACTCGTAATATTCAAGTTTTTGTAGTCAGTTGTAAAATATAGTCAAAAAGGATTTTATTTGCATTAGTAAAATTCAGAGTTTAGTTTTAATTAATCTTGATACAGATTGATGGAAGAAAAAGATATCGGTATTGGGCGTTCAGCTCAGGTTTTCCGAAATTTTTTATATAAATATCGTGATTCGTTATCTGCATCGGTTCTGGTGCTCGGCTATGATGATGTAGAAGGTGGACAGGTTTGTTATACCATTTTCATTGCATATTTTATGTTCTGCATTTGTAAAATTTACTTCTGAGTTTATCTTTCATTTATTAAGTACATGATATTAGTTATACGCTATACCTCTGGGTGGCTACGTGACTCGGCAGAGATGTGCTTCAAGTGGTTCTGGTAGTACGTTTGTACAAGGCTTTCTTGATAGTCAGTGGGAGGTAAATTTGTTCATTTCATTTTATTTTTAAGATTTCTTCTTTTATTCTTCGTTTCCTACTTCTTAAACTGTCTCACTCTGTAGTTTTAAACACTTTTTGTACAGGCATCAAAAGGGTACATTTTCAGCCCGACATGACTGCCGAAAAATGTAAGGAATTAGTTTTGAATGCTGTAGCATTAGCGACAAATCGTGATGGTTCTTCAGGTGGTGTTATTAGACTGGCTGTAATTGATAAAGATGGCACGCATAGAACGGTTTGTTACTTGTTTTTGTCGAGTTTGTTGTATTTTATTCTTATCTTCATATCAGTTGTTTATCATTGTACCATCTCCAAAACTTTGATAAATACATAGTTGTTATTGTCCAATTTTGAGAGTTTTACTACAGTTTTCTACAAATCTTTTCATTGAATTTTTATTTAAGCATTATACTTACTACCGATTTCAGCTCATTCGACCAGATAAAACGAATTTCCCTAAATTTGCTGACATCCCAGCACATTTCACGTATCCAAAGCACGTTATTCAGTGATTAATTTAATTTGCTCCTTGTGTTTTTCTCCTTTTTTTGTAATATGTTGTTAAGAACAGAGAGAATAAATAAGCATGAAGTCTTGTGTAGAATACATGTCTAAAAATATACAACTCGTTGAGATTTGAGCTGCACTGAGTAGTAATGCCGCTTGGAGGATTTTAATTATTCTAAATATAGATATTCCTTTATGTTCCGACTCTGATGGGTTCTTTATGTAAAGTATATTCACGGATTTGGGCGTGGCTGGAATAGCGAAATATTTTTACTATTATGGTCCACTAAAGAGTGCGAGTTTCACATATTTGCATAGTTATGTGAATTTGGAGCTGCTTTTTTCATTAAAAATTGTTTTGTTTGATTGTATGCGGTTGTTTTGAGAACTGTCATGCTGCTTTCAGCTCTTTTAATTTTTTCTGTGATTCATAATAATGAAGCAATGGTAAGTTCAAGTTCCTTCTTTCATCATATTTTGGTTATGAATTTAGACGAAAGTTGGAGCTGATATAAATGGTACACAAAATAGCAGGGCGAGTTTTTATTGATATTACTTTGGTCACTTTTGGGATTTAATTTTTGTTAAGTATTATAGTTGAGTGAAGAAAGTGTGATACCTGATTTGCCACCACACGTCGATAGTCGGCTAGAATATGATTTTATTGAAGATCCACATAAAAGGCGATATGTGCAGTCATTATTCATAGATTCATTTTATGAACCGAGTTGTGATCATAGATCGGATGTCATGGTGAATTTAAAATCTTGGCAGTATATTTCAGATAATAAATAATATAAAATGTCTTAATTTTTAATAATTTTTGCCAAATGAACTGAAAGTTTTTTTAATTAAAAAATATCAAGCGTATAGTTCGGTGAACAAAGTGATTATTCAATAGTCTTGTGAAAAATTACATTCATTTTTATTTGAATAAATTAATATTTGTTGTTGTTTCAGATTAAGCCAATTTATTTTTGGCCAGGTCAACGAGTTGACCTTCGGTGTGTAATGTGCCGAAGAGCGTTTACTTTTAATGGATTAATGAAACACTGGTGGTTTATGGCGGCAACAGATGTTGAAGATGCTTTAGAAAACATTGAGGTTAAATTTTTTAGCTTTACTTAGACTTCAATCTTTTGTCTGTAAGATTAATTAGAGTCTAGTTAGTTTGAAGATATTTGGAGTTATTCACTTTGAGTGAAAACCAAATTTATTTTATCAAATTTGAATAATCATTAAATAATCATAGTGTTTATTTGCTAAAAAAATTTCTATTTCGCTAAGATTGATGAGTTTTTGAGAATAACTTTTGATAGCTGTTTCTGATTTATGTTGTTATTCTAATATGCGTACATCTGTTTGATTAATATTCCAGATATTATTTTTTCTAAAAAAAAGGCAAAATAGAAGGCAAAAAATGTAATAAAATTAGTGATAGATTGACGAGTTAGAAACGGTAGCAATATTAAGACCAAAAACTTTGACTCTGATAGTAATAAGATTCATATTTGATTAATTTATAATTTATCTTTTAAAACCACCTATGGGGCAAACTTAATTATCAGATTTATTCTGAAAAAAAAATCACTATAATTCACATTTAGTAGACAACAGTTGTACACGATAATTCGGTAATTTACTCATCATTTCTTATCATTAGTTGATAAGAGATATTTAACTGTTGAATTTGTTTGATAAAACTTCATTTTACTATTAGAACTTTCGCTACTGCTATTGCCATCCTTGTTATCTTTAAGTTTGCCATTTTTAAAATTCTTTAGTAATTTAATTTACAGTAACAAGAATGCAATATCAATAATGTTCTTTTATAAATTAGATGAAGATTATTAGTACTGTTCAATTTAATGATTATAAATGAAATAGTTTTTTATATAGCTTTTTAATTAAATATTTAACAGATACTGACACAACTAGAAAAAGGAATGTACGATGATAAGCTTACTAATTAATGAATACTAAAAGTAGTAATATTTCAAATTAGAATCTTGGAAATTCCCCAAAATGGAATCAACACATATCAGTACTAAGTGCTGATTATGGAGAAAATAGATGGCGAGATTTTGGTGCAATGCCAAGTAGCAGCTATGAAGCTGGAACTCATCCGAGAGCTCAGACTGTTCTCATACAAAGAGGAGGGAAATTAACCTTATTGCAAGTATGCTTTGAAGTAATTGAATTTGTAATCAAAAAAAAACCTTTTACTGGTAATAATTGTCGTTTGTTGTAATAAACTTTTAAGATTTAAAATCTTTGTGGAAAAATTTCAAACATTACATTTGCATATTATGTATATTAATTGTAAATAAAGGAAGTTAATTTCAACTGCTATAAGAAGAAAATTATCAGTAAGTAATATATTGGATACCTTAAATATATAATCATGAATAGTAATATACTGGATACCTTAAATATATATTTATGAATAGTAATATACTGGATACCTTAAATATATAATCATGAATAGTAAGATATTGGATGCCTTAAATACATAATCATGAATAAAAATATAATGATAAAAGATAATAATATATAAAGCACAATAGGATACAAAATTTTCTATAACTGTTGAAAGACTTTCAGCATAAAATTTAATTTTAATCTTTCGGTATTAAACGCGCTTAAATTGAATTTTAAGCATTTACTTCATCTCATATCTATATACGCACAATAAGAAATCAAATCTTTCTACTTCCAAAATTGTTTTGAATGTAATATTAATCAGTTCAAAATTTATTACAACCTGAGATATCATAAATTCTTGTATTAAAAATTATTCAATAATAAAAATAAAATATACGGTATTCTTATTGTTTACTTTATTACTTTCGATAGCGCTTAACAGGATATGCAAATTTTATTGCAAGATTGAAAGTATTTACAGCCAACATCTGAAAACGAAGGGCTGTATCGATGCTTGGATATCGCATCGAAAAATGTTCTACATTTCGTTTATTATTTGATTTCTATGCAGCCCATATTCATTTATCTAATGTATGCAAATTTTATGAAAGTTCAGGTTTATAAAAGTAACATTCTAATTTAATCAATCCTTATAATTACTTGTTTTTATCTTTTTTTCAAAACTAATTTTATCTCATAAAAATGCTTAATTTGAATTTATTAATTTATTTAATGGTCGTAAATAAACAGTTTAGTGAATTGTCAATTTTTAAAATTTGAGTTCATTCGAATTCGCTAATATTATGTAAGACTGATTAATAGTATAAAAGTAAAAAGTGTATTACCAGAGTATAATAACAGTAATTGTGATATTACTTACTACCATGTAAAATTATCTTCTTGTTAATTAATTGCAATAATTTTAAAGGGAAAACGACCGAGAACAAATTTCCCAAATTGGTATGCTAATTTTATACTTTTATGTCTGATATGATCAATAACTCAAAAATTAGTAAAGTATTAAAGTTTTAAATTTATTAAAAATTGTAGCAAAATTAATAAATCCAAAAAATTGCTGCAGTCAAAGTAGTGAATTGAAAGTTCAAATAGATTTTGTACAAATCAAAAAATTAGTGAATTCTGTAAATAGATAAAAAATTTTCCAAGTTAGTTACTTGAAATTGAAGCTAAAATAATCCAAGAAAAGTAATTAGTCTTCAGAATCTCTTTTTTTGTTGCAGATCTGTATTTGTTTTGCAGAAAGTGAGTGCCCACTATCACGTGGATTTCCTGATTCGAATTGGAAATTCCGTCATATACCTCCAACATTCATTCGTGATCGATTCCGTTCGTGTAAAAGAAATTTATCTACATGCCTTGATTGGGTGAGTTGATTTCAAAGTACTAATTGAATCAATTACTGGTTTTCAACAAAATATCAAATATTTTCTAATACAATGTTAGTTACTGTAGTTATTCATTTTCTGCACAGTCTGAACAAAACCAATATAATTTACTTATGTATTTGTCTGAAAATTAGCTTTTAGCCAAGTATACACTCAAAATAAAAGGTAAATCCGTAGATGAAAACTGAAAGAATTGAACTTTTTGACTATAAAAGTTTGTTCTGACAGTTTTGATTAAATAAAAAGTTGAAATTTGATTAAATAAAAAATTGTTACAAAATGAAATTCTCAAATTTTCAAAATAAAGTAATATCCAATAAACATTTTTTCAGTTTATAACTTAAATACAGTTTTTGTATGTTAATATTTTGATTATATCATTGTGAAAAATATTAGGTCGTAAGTGATAATAATATGAACGAAAAGAAGAGTTGGAATTTGCATGGGCATTCGCGAGATGCTGAATTAGCACAAAAATATGTAAATTTGAAAATTCAATTGGTATGGAATGAATGGTCACCTTGTGAGCAAGGAACTTCAGTAAGAACTCGAGAAGGTAATTTTTGTTTGTATTTTAAATTTCTCTGACAACAGTGTTATTATAGTTTATCATTAATCAAGTCTAATAAGTATTTTAGGTCATTGTTACTTAAGGAAAATTAATCCAAAGAAAAATGTTGGCCAAATGATCAAAGGAGTATTTGATAAATATGATATCTTCAATTGGGTAGAAAAGCTAAAAAATCATATGGCAAAAATTCCTGAATTTAACACTACGGGTATACGTCTTTACAGGTGAAATTATATATTAAAGCATTTTCAAACTATTTAAAATTTTTTAATTCTATTATCAAAAACTATTTTAATAATTTTATTATTAATATTATTTTTTCTATTATTCTATTAGTATAAAAAATATTAAAACATATTAATTTGAGAATGAAAATGAGAGATACATTTTAGAATACTTTCGTTCTACATTTAAATTAATATACGCAACGTCTTTAAAATTATTTTTGCAGTGGTTTGGTGTCAAAGTTGATTCATAAAGGAGTTTTTGGTGAAGAAAAAGTGTATGATGATTGTTACAATGTTAGTTACTACAGTTATTCATTTTCTTCTTACAATTTGAAATATAGAATAAATTTTTCGACATCATTAAAATCATGTTTGTTTCCTTTTATATTTCCGTATAATTGAATTAAAAAATTTTAATATTTTCATTAATTTTTAAGCAGAAATATTTTTAAATATATTTTCTAAGGCTTGTTTTTTTGCTAAATTGAATCTCAGATATATTGGAATCCACTTCGAGTGGAATCTTTGAGTCTTTTTTTGTACAGTGAAATTTTAAATTTATTTGATTACATTTTAGATAGAAGATTTGTTTGATAAAAATCCAAGAGTGACAAAGCGTTGGATTGATGCAATTTTTGCTGCCTTTGGGATTCATAAAGTAGAAAGAATGCTCGAAATCAGTGATAGATTATGCTTATTCTATTATAACAGAGCAGCATCTGGACCAGATGATATACCTACAACAACTTTCGTAGGTACTCATCTAATTGATACTGAACAATGTATAGTTGTTTAAAATTTTTAGAAACTTGTTTTAACTCTTTCATATTTGCAAGTTTTTCTAATATTTTGTAATGCTTTATTAATTATTTCATCTATAAAGTTGCTTTTCTACTTTTTGTTTTACTGACTCCAAACTTTTCATTTTTTGTTTTCATTATTTTGTTAATAATATTTTATGTATGTATAAAAATTTTTTGCGCAAGTATTAATTCACAAGACAAACATTTATAAGTTATACAACATACCGTAGGATTTATCGTAGGAGATGAACATTGTTATTCATTATTAAATTTAACATTTAGTTTTCAAGGTAACTTTTAAGAGCAAATATGAACTAAATAATCGGGTTGTTAAACTTTATTTTTTTCTTTGTTTTGTTTTTCAGTAATAATAAAAATTTTAC